CCGTTTAATCAAACTGATAAAAAGTACCTTCGTCCTTTTTCTGCAGCAGCACAGCTCCCAGCTGTAAGATGAAGTGTCAGCTGAAATCTTACGTGGGCTGTTTGGGTCATACAGCTGGTGGAGGAGAGTTCAAGCTTGAGGTTGCAGAAAGCATGTTGCTGATCGTGCCCCCAGCACCACATGTTCTTCTTTGAGAGCAGGGCTCTCAGTGGCTTGTCCTTCTCAGAGAGGTTGGGGATGAACTTCCCAAGCTGGTTCACCACTCCAGAAAGCTGTGAAGCTCGCTGATGTTCATCGGCTCTCTCATGTCTTGGACTGCCTGTGTTTTGTCTAAGATGATGTGTCCCAGGAACTTTACCTCTTGTCTCTCAAACTCATACTTGGCCATGTTCAGCGTCACACCTGCCTTCTCTGCCCAATCCAGGACTGCATGCACTCTGCTGTTGTGCTGCTACTTCGTGTCCCCCCAGATGATGATGTTGTTGACCTGGCAGACAACACCTTCCAGGCCTGCCGTGACCTCAGATGTCATCCTGTTCTGGAAGTGCTCCGATGCAGAGCTGATCCCGAAGGGTAGCCTGTTGAAGTCTACCGCCCGAATGGCATGATGAAGGTAGTGTACAGAGCTGAGTCCTTTGAAAGTGGTATCTGCTTAAAGCCCATGTTGGCGTCAAGTTTAGTGAGGTACTTGGCCCCCGTCAGCATGCCGAGGGTGTGTTTAATAGATGGCAGGATGAACTTTTCCCTGCATACTGACTCGTTTACTGGTGACATGTCCACACATATCCTCACCTCATTGTTTTTCTTGGGAGCCACCACCATGCTGCAACACCACTCGGTTGGTGCCTTGATGAAGCTGATGATGCCCAGGCTCTCCATCCTCCTCGGCTCCCGCTTCGCCTTGCCCATGAGTGGCAGTGGTACTCGCCTTGGGACTTTGAGAGAGAAGGGTTAGGCATCTGGCTTGAGTTTGATGATATAGGGCTTCTGGATCAGCCCCAATTCATCGCAGAATTTCGGGTATGTCATGCTCACCGTCTCTTGGTCGATCATGTCCATCCAAGCAACCAGTATCATACCCCATTTACACTACCCTTGAAAAACCGATCCATGCCGAGACCAGTCCAAGCTTGATTCAGTTAACCAGGCCGAGCTTGGTTCCTACGACCGTTTACACATCATGCTATCTCGGTTCCTCGACTCCTCGCCTCCTAGTGACGATCTGTGGTATTACTGCCTGTATTGAAGGAGGAAATCAAGCAGTTGGTGGCGGTAATGCACCAAAAGTTGTTTGTCAACAGCCATAAAACACAAGAAGAAGACGAAGAAGGAGGGAATCAAGCAAATCAAAATGGCACATTCAGAAAGTTATCCTTGATTACTATTGCTGTACTTCGGTGTTTGCGGAGTTTCAGGCGAAGACGGCAACCTTTCGTGGAGTTACTTGAGAAAGTCAGCTTAACTTAGTTGTTCTTCTTCTTCTGTTTTGTGTTGGTGGGTTAAGCAACTTTCAGAGGGGCATTACCGCCAACTACTGGAATGGAGTGTGAACTGGGATGTGTGGCCAGACGGAGATGAAGCTTTCTGCTCATGCGCTCTTGTTATCAGAGAACCTGAGCCAGGGAAAAACCGAGCCGAGCCCACCTCTAGAACTGGTCTGCAGTTAGCTTGGTTCGGTTGTGTCTAGTATGGTTCAGTTCAGTTTGCTTTTCATGTACACACGATAAGTTATCTCCGTTACTGAGCTCGGACCGGTTTCGGCATGGTTTTTCAAGGCTAGTGTAAACGGGGTTTAAGTCTCACTGAAGCTAGCCTGCTTAATAGACCGATGTGTAGGTCTCTGACGATGTAGATCCTCTCTGTGGTGCTCCTGTCCTTGTAGGTGAGTGTTTCGGTGACTGACCCTAGCACATTCAGCTTAGAGCCACCTGGACCATACCGCTCTTTGAGGGCTGCTGTAATCTTGGCATCGTACATGACACTTTTGTAGGTCTGGTCTGGTATGGCTGTTAAATTGGTGCCCGTGTCTATTTTAAAAGTTACTTTGCTGTCCTTTAAGCCTAATTCAGCCATCCACGGATCTTCACCAGAGGACACCTCACCTAAAAACAGTCCATCTATGTCCTGGTCAAGCTCATTCACAGTGCTGGCGAGTGGACATACCTTGCCATAGTGTCCTCTTTTGCCGCAGCTGTGGCATTCAGTGATCGGTGCAGAACACTGAATAGCAGGATAAGGTGGTGGTTTTCCATATTTGTGGCATGCTTTGTGTCCCATTGTTCAGTGTTGTCTTTGCTTTTGCATGTCCCTGTGAATGTCCTTGCTTTGAATTGCATTGAATTCCATGGTTTTCCTTTGCTTTTGTGCAGTGCTTCTACAGCTACTTTACTAGCAGCGCTCATCTCCCCCCTCGGGTCTGTCTGGAGAGAGACAACCTCTTTGCATCTGGAAAAAAAAATAAAAATAAAAAAAATAGCACAGAGAAGATTTGTTTTCCAAGATCTGTTTTTAATTTCTTTCATTTATCGTGCTTACACAAATCAAAGTCTAATAGGTAAAAATCATCCAGATCGGAGTCTTGAAATAAATAAAAAAATCAAAATTAGAGCCATTAAATATGTGAGAATAAAAGCAGAATACTCCTCATTGTATAATCACTTTCTCTCTTCTTAAAGGCTTGCTTTTTCTTGTAGAGCAATTTATTCAGATCACTTGCAATCCATGGTTTTATATGTGAAGCATGTCACTGTTCTGATATGGATGGTGTTATCTATACAGAAGTCTGTGCTGTCAGTCACTCACTTTCATGTTGCTGACACAGTGCATCCCAGTCTGTAGCCTCAAAACAACCTAGCAGGCCTTCTTCAGCTTCATTTGACCATCTCCTAACAGTTCTTTTTAATGTAGGTTTTCTCTTATAAAGTGGCTTACAATTCCAGCAGAGAAAAAACAGATTGTGATCTGATTTCCCCAAGAGGAGGCCTTACTTCAGAGATGTAGGAGTCTTTGGCATTTGCACAAAACAGTTTTGTTTTGTTCTCTCTGGTACAACAGCTGACAAACTGTTGGAACGTTGGCAATGTAGCAGAGAGTGGGATGTGATTAAAGTTACCAGTTATTGCCAAAAATGCATTTGGCTGTTGTGTCTGTAGCTTAGCAACAACACTACTGATTGCATCATATACGGCATGGCAACAGCAGAAGGTGAAATATAAACAGTTACTAACAGAACACTGCTGAACTCTCTGGGCAAATAATATGGCCAAAAACCAACTGCCAACAGTTCTATGTCTGGGCTGCAGTGACAAATCTTGACAGTGACCTGGATGACACCACCTGTTGTTCACAAACACTGCCAACCCACCTCCTTTGAATTTCCCAGTCTAATTTAAATCTCTGTCTGCTAGTATGGCCAGAGTGCCTGGCAGAGGGGCAATGGAGTCTGAGATGCGATCCTGAAACAATTTTTCAGTAAAAGACATAATGCTGCATTGCTGATATTCTGGCTGGGTCCTTGCTATAGCTTGGAGTTCTTCTTACTAGTTTCCTAAAGATCTCACATGTTGCGCATGATGATTGATGAAAGAGATGGCTTAAATATCTTGTTCCTCTCTCTTCTCTTTGCTACTGCTAAGCATCATCGGTGCCTCCTTTTTAACTCAGCAGGTACATGCAGAAGTAGTTAAAGTATTACTTCAGTTTTATAGATGTTAAAGATTTGCTCCTGGGTGTAAAAAAAAAATATTTCTATGGTTGCTGTGGTTACACATAGTAAAAAGGATCAAAGTAGGACAAAAATATGTTGGGAAATACCATTCAAAATGGCCCTTCTCATTCAAACACCGGCCAAATGACAGCCAACTTCCAGCCACTGGAGTGACCCTGTCCTTCTCCTGGGCATGCATATATTTTTACTCTGACTCCACCCTTTCACTGAAATATGGGGTCTGATTAGTAGATGATGCTTCTCTTTAGATCTTAATGTCCACAAATCATGACAGAAAGAATATTTCAGTACAAAGACTGATGTTTACAAAAAGGACATGATCACTGTAGAAGAGGATGCAGTTTTGCTCATAAACCAGCTGTGAGACCTCTCTTCTCTGCTCTGCAATCCCCTCTCAGCCCAGCAAACTCCGCAGGAAATCTCCCAAAGCGGTGGCCCCCCCACGGAGCTGAGAGCAGAAAAAAACCCAAGCACCAAGGATTTCTCTCTGTTTCCATGAAGCTGCCCAGGGGTTCACATTGGAAGATAACAACACCATGGCCTAGATCTCCAGAATGACCAAGGATAATTCATGATGGTTGACATTTCAGAACCGAACTGCTGAAAAACAAGAGGGTTTGCAACACATTTCTCTGAGTTTCAGAACTTACACAGCCGGACTGGAGTGAAAAGTCTCCTGAAAATGAGTTTAAACACTCATATAACGTTAATGTTCATGTGTTTTCTCATATGCTCATCACATTTTGATTACCAAATTATGACCAAAAGTAATTTAAATGAATCCTCATGTCTATTCTCCGCTACCTATTTCAAAGAGGGCAAAGAATCATTTAACTAAAGGTTTCTGTTTCCTGATTAAGCAAATAATTTAATAAAACATTATTTGTCAAAATAATGTGTTATTAACTTCATGGATTTGGTAAGAGGTTGTTTAAAAACAATCAAATTGCTCTAAATTAGTGAAAAGCTAATGTGATCACATCCTAAATCCTTCAAAATAAAATTTGTTTCTCACAAAAAACCATCATAAACTGTGATATCATTGCTTCATCTCATTGATGATGTTTTGCAACCATGTTTTTCTTTCCTCTTTGTACATAGTAGTTTAGTTCAGTTGAGTTTCACTAGTCTTTAGTCAAGAGTTTTTAACTTAAATATGCTTGACTTGGAGCTGAATGAGGTTTGTTAATAAACTCTTATATTTTGAAGGGAGGTTGTGGTGAATTTATTCCATGTATGTGCAGAAATAACTGTTTGACCATGATAAGAGTTCGATTCACTGTTTCATTTGTTATTCTAACACACAGCTACAGTGGGTACTGGTTGAAAATGGACGGTTTCCTGTGTGATTCCTGCGTGATTCCTGCGTGAATCACAATGTATTTCCTGAGGCCAGTTTTTTTTTTATTTCAAAAAGAACTGCAATGTACCCGGACAACCACCAGGGGGCACTTGGGAGCTCTGCCGTGAATCAATAAAGGTCCGTGGATCATCCGTCCATTCGATCGGTCGCGTGCTCATGGATGTAAACTGGATAATTTCTAGGTTATAAAAACGTCCTCAGCGACTCTGAATGAATCAGTCTCATCAGGCCTCTTTTCTTTCATCAGTGGGTCTTTATTTTCGTCACCATCGTTTCAGTCATTAATGCAAAATTGGTC